CAGCGGCCCACCAGAGCAGCAAGTTCAGGCAGGACTGTAGGGGTGGCCCGGGCCTGCGCTCCCTCCTCCGGGCTCCCCTCCTCACCAGCGTTCCCCACACGGCCACCAGAGGGCGCGCGTTCCCACCGACAGCAGCTCCTCTCCCTCCTGCTCAGAGCCCCCACTTAGCCCCAAAGTCCCCGCGGGCCTGCGCTTTCTGCCCTCCTCTTCCGGACTCTCCCTGGGCTGACTCGGCAATACCCCGGCTGTACCCAGGCTGTACCCCGCAGGCTTCCATGCTGCTCCTCCCACAAGCCCGGTATGCTCCTGCCTCAGAGCCTCTGCACATACTGTTCCCTCGGATGTCCACGTGGCTTGCCCCGGCCTCTTTGCGGTCCATGAGCCTTTCCCGACTACCCTGCCTTTACGTGCAAAACTCTCCCGCCCTTGCTTTCATTTCCTTTTTAATGGCCAGATCTAGAAAACGTCAATTTGAATGAATAAATTTGAATTTCACATCAAGAGTGAAAAAAACCTTTTTTAAGGTTTAAGTAAATCACATGCAATATTTGAGAACCATATTGCATGGGACGGACTTATGGGAAACAACTTTCATAGTTTATTTGAAATTCAAATTAATTGGGTGTAGTAAATTGAATAGGATCCCCCACAAAATTCATGTCCCTCCGGAATCTCAGACTACGGCTTCATTTGGAAATAGGGTCTTTGCCAGGAATTAAGGTAAAGATTGAGGTGAGATCCTATGGGATTAGGGAGGGCCCTAAATCCATCCCGGGTCTGTTTAAGACAGGAAAGGACACAGACAGAGACAGAGGAAGAGGCCACAGGAGGATGGAGTGACAGGTGTCCAGGCCGAGGAACACCAAGGATGGCCAGCAGCCACCATCAGCTAGGAGGGGGGCCTGGGACAGTTCTTCCCCACAGCTTCCAGAAGAAATCCACCTTGCTAACACCTTGACTTCACACCCTGGCCTCACGAACTGCAAGACATTTCTGTTGTTTTAAGTCCCCCAATTATGGTAATTCCTTATGGCAATCTGAGGAAATGAATAAACTGCGTCTTGTTCTATACCTGCAATCCAGTAACGTAATTTATTTATTGTATTGTATTGTATTGTATTGCTGGGGGCACCTATACTCACCAGAGAGAAGAGACAAAGACACAGAGAAAAAAGGGAAGAAAAGCATTATCCAATGGGTCATGGTCACGCAGCAACCCCTTCTCCTCCACTTCTCCATACTCTTAGGGTTTGGGGCAGGCACTCACATGGGCCTGGTGTGATTTCAAGCTGCTGGAGCCAGGACTTGAACTGTGCATTTGGCCATGTGGGATCCAGCTCTCTCTCTCTCATTTTTTTTTTTCTTTTTTTGGAGAAGTTTTTGCTATAGGGTGCATGCGCTCACCAACAGGCAGAGAGAGACAGAGACAGAAAGTGAGAAATCACCCCCCAGGGGGAATGGTCACACCGCAATCCCTTCTCCTCCAGTCTCTTCTCAGGATCTTGGGCACGCATGTACACGCGCCCAGCGTGAGTTTAAGCCGCCGGGTCCGGGACTTGAACCGCAGTCGACTATACGGGAGTCCAGCAACATAGCCATTACGCTAACTGCTGGTCCCGGATCCAGCTCTCTAAACCACCAGGCTATGGGACTGGTCCCGCAGTCCACCTCTTTACCTTTTCGATGGTCTCTCCCTCATTAGAAGGAGCGCCCCTGAGGACGACACGCACATCTGTCATGCTCAACGCTGGGCCCAGGACCTGGAGCCATTCCAGAGACACAGTAGGCTCTCAATAAATATTTATAGAGCGAATTCGATGAATGAATAAGGGGAAAAGGATCAGAGAGAGGTCACCTACCAAGGTCGCCCGCACAGCTGGTGAACAACAAAGCTGGTGTTTGAGCCAGACTGTTCTGTTTCTTTCCCTGCCCAGGCCGCTTCCTCAAAGGACTTAGGTCATCACTGGCTGGACCTCACCCGCCTCCGCCGCTTCCTCCCTGCCCTCAGCGCCTCAGAGATATGTCTGTGTCTGTTTCTACTTATATTCCTTCTTTCTATATTTCTATATATTTAAATGTTTATATAACAAAATGGTTTCTGAAAAAAACATTTTAAAATGCCAGATGGTCAGGGACAGCAGGTGGCGTGGTGCTTAAGGCACTGGACTCCCAGATAGCCAACCACGGTTTGAGTCCCAGACCTGGCGGCTTGATAATCACCCCTGGCACGTGTGGGTACCTGCCCATAATCACCCTGGCTCATGTGCACACGTGCCCAAAGAGGAGAGTGGAGGAGAAGGGATTGTAGCGTGGCCACCCCCAGGGGGTGATTCCTAACTTTCCCACTCTCTGTCTCCTTCTGGTGAGCAATGTGTCCTATGGCAAAAACCTAAACCAACAACAAAAAGCCAGACGGTAGCAGCGATAAAATGTGATCTCTGTGAGGCTGATCCACATGAGAAAGTTCCAGGTTCAGATCCAGAGACCTCCCTGAGCACACGGGGTTGGCTAAAGCCAGGAGTGGGTTGTGGTGTGAAAGACCCGAATTGGGGCACTGTCCCATTGCTTTGCTGAAATAATGAAATGAAATACGAAATAGGTGCCCCAGGGAAGAGCTTGGAGGCAGGTGGCCAGGGGCTCAAATGGCATGAAATAAATAAACTTAAAAAGAAAACTTCTTAAGGGGGACCAGCAGTTAATGGCTATGTCACTGGACACCCACGTAGTTGACCACAGTTCGCATCCCGGACCCAGTGGCTTAAAACTCACACCGGGCGCGTGTGCGTGCGTGCCCAAGATCCCGAGAGGAGAATGGAGGAGAAGGGATTGTGGTGTGGCCATCCCC